AAATGGTTATAATCAAGATGGTTTTAAAAGGAAGGAAAAGCATCTGAAAGGAAAAGGGAAACGAAACACGGAAGGACCCCCAAGATAGCACTTCACACCCACCAGGAAGACTATGATTTTTCGTTCTTTAGTATTGGGGATCAAACTCAGGGGCACTCGACCACTGAGCCGCATCCCCAGCCCTATTTCATATTTTATTTAGAGACAGGGTCTCACTGAGTTACCAAGCACCTCGCTGTTGCTGAGGCTGGCTTTGAACTCATGATCCTCCTGCCTCAGCCTCCAGAGCCGCTGGGATTACAGGTGTGTGCCACCGCACCCGGCTTAGGATGACTATAATTTTTTTTTAAAATGATAAATAACCCAAGTATTGGTGAAGATGTGCAGAAGCTGAAGCTCTCAGGCATTGCTAGTGAGAATATAAATACCATGAAATCAGTATGGCAATTCCTCAGGGTTCAATAGATTTACCATAGGACCCAGCAATTTCACTTCTGTATGTACTCAAAAGAGTTAATATTAGATAATTCAAGCAAATATTTGCGCTTGAATTATCTGATATTAATAATAAGCAGCATTATTCACAGTAGGCAAAGGTGTAAACAACCCAAAGATGTATCAACTATTGACTGGATAGTCACAATATGGTAGTCATAGCATGGAATATTATTGACCCATATAAAGGACTACAGTACTGACATGTTACAATGTGGGTGAAACTTGAAAACGAAGTGAGTGAAAGAAGGCAGATACAAAATGTCCCATATTGTATTATTCCATTCATATGAAGTATCCAGAACGGGCAGATACAGAGACAGAAAGCAGATCAGTAGTTGACAGGGTTAGAAGAAGGCTGGGCAGAAGGTGGAGGATGAAGAGCAATCATTCAACAGGTCAGGGGTTTTCATGTCTAGAAACTGTTTTGGAAGCTAGGCTTAGTGGCATGTGCCGTAGTCCCAGCTATTTGGCAGGCTGAGACAAGAGGATAGATTGACCCCAGGAACTGGAAACCAGCCTGAGCAACACTGACACTCTGTCTCAAAAACAAAAGCAAAACAATCTATTCTGCTTTTATGGGAGGCTGTATATAAATATTTAAATTCCAAATTGAAATATATAAATCTCAAAAATACTGTTAATCAGGAACAGGGTGGGCTGGATGTGGTATGTAAATAATCTCCAAATTCCAGCATCCATACCATCATTTTCCATATAGTATTGTTCCTGCTTGTTTTTGTTTAAAATTTTTTGAACTATGGAAAATACCAAACATATAAAGTATGAAGCATATCGTACATATATACGTCAAACCTATGTGTGTGTATATGTCATAAGGCATATTACATTGAACAGTCATGGACCCATCTCTGCTTCAACAATGATTAACTGGTGGCAGTATACTCCCCACCCACTTTCCCTTATCTCCAGAATTATTTAAAGCAATCCCAGATATCATATCATTTCATCTGCAAACATTTTATCACGGGTCTCTAAAAGGTAAGGACAATTCTTATAACTGTTTGTTTACTTGTTTCTGACCCCGTAGCCTCTGAGCTCTGTGACAACCAGGGTTCTCCTCCTCCTCTTTGTCTCCCCCACCCCACCCCAATGCCCCACAGCTCTAGCTGGGGCCCTAGCCAGGGCAACCTGAGCAGTGCACAGGCCCAGCCCTCAGAAGGGGCCCCTGCTGGATTTAATGCTCTGTTTGCCTTGAAATTCTTCACTTTGGAACAAAGGCCCTGCCTTTTCTTTTCGTGCTGGACCTTACAAGTGCCCGAGCCAGTCCTGGCCTCCGCTTAGCCAGGCAATAAACACTCAGTGATTGAGGAGAGGCACAGGGCCAGCTCTCCCTGCGAGGAAATCGGTCACCCGGGATCTTTACCCTAAACTGGTCCAGCATTCCCTAGCTCTGGGGATGGTGCCACCATCCTTCCAAGTCTGTAGGTCTAAAACCTAGGTCCCCTCCCTCTTCTACACCCCCCCACCCCCCACCAAGTGACCTACCCCACCTCCTGACATGGACAACTCCAGAAATCCTGGGTAAGATGGGTAGGAAGAGAAGCTGGGTTTGAGCAAGTAAACACCAACCTAAGCCTTCTGTTGGGTGGCCTGCAGGGAGGTGCCTTAGTTTTGGATTCCCCTGGGTGCTGGTGGTTTATTTGGGATTCCAGGAAGTTCTCTGAGCGAATGGAGAAATGAGATGGAAAAGGGAGTGAAGTGCATCTGTTGGGTGCTAAGGAGTGGGTTACCCCTTTAGACAACTGGCTTTGAGCTGGTTCGTTACCATCGGAGAGACTGTAAAGGACACACCCCCACAGAGTCCCACTGAAAAGAGAGGGAGCTGGGGGGTTTACCCAGCAATTCCCAGCCTGTTTGGTTTGTGGGGGTTTGGGGGCGGTGCTGGGGGTTGAACCCAGGGGCTCACGCATGCTGAGTACCACTGGGCCCCTAGAGCCTGTGGACCCACAGTTGCTTCTGGGAGCTTTCACTGGGCAGCATTTCCAGCTGGGTGCCTGCTGGTAAGCACACTTTTTGCTGCCAAGGAAGGCCCACGGGCAGGGGACAAAAGGACCTGAGCCCAGATGCCATCAGGGTGTGGGGCAGCTGTTTTTCAAAGCGGCAGGTGAGTTCAAGGTGGTCTGAAGGGTATGGGGCGACATCACCAGCATCTCCTATGCTAGCATGACAGAAATTGCAATGCAGCTAAACCCCTCCCCGGTGCAATGCAGCTAAACCCCTCCCTGGTCCAACACAGCTTGAAGTTTTCTCGGAATCATTTAGTTTCTTTCCACTGCCACCACCACCCTGGGCCAAGCCACCATTCCTCCACCCCTGGTTGGTGCCTCATCATCCACATTTCCTCTCAGCCATCTAAAGGGTGGAATTGAGATGCTAAGAAGCCCATTTTTTGCCCTTCTATAGTTTTACTTTTAGGATAATTTGTGTGAGCCTAGCGAGATAAAATTTTAGACATCCATAGGGGTGATTTTCTTCTGCTACTGAAGAATATTTCTCTGCCTAGGAAAAAGGCCTATTGTGTTTATCCCCAGGAAACTTCTTCACTTGTCAAAAACTCCCTTAGAATCCGGTTACAAGGCTATTAGCAGTGTACCCACCAATATGGAGGAAATGGCAATGTTTCTAAGCCTTTTGTTGTGTCGAAGACTTCTGGGGCATTCCTCTATTCCACTTCCTTCCATTAAAAAGAAAATTGGCACCAAGTTTTCCTAGATTTGTTCACTCTCAAAGCAACTACTGCTTTTGGCTGGAATACTCTGCATTTAGCAGAGAGCAAAAGTGACACAGTGAAACTATTTTGGGTTTTAAATAGTTTCTGATAGACGGAGTCAAGGAATTATTTTTTGAACCCCAGCCACATTTCTAGATTCAATATTTAATACAGTACATGTTTACTGAAAGTCAAAGCACCTATTACTTTACAAAGCACATGGGGAGTCAGCATAGCAGAGTTGGAATCAGACCAACACACCTTGAATTAAATCAGCATCCCCCACTCAAGAGCAGGGCAAACACTGAAACTCAACTTCCATATCCATAAAATGGAGTGGAAAATGTAATGTCCTTGAATTATATATAGGCATGTATATGTTTCTATACTAAGGAAATGCAAATTAAAACCAGAGATACCGCCTCACACTCGAGAGGATGATTGTTATTTAAAAAACAAAACAGAATGAGCATATAGCTCAATGGTGTGTGCTTGACCAGAACGGTGGTGCACACCTGTAATCCCAGCGGCTAGGGAGGCTGAGACAGAAGGATGGTGAGTTCAAAGCCAGCCTCAGCAACAATGAGGTGCTTGGCAACTCATTGAGTCCCTGTCTTTAAATAAAATACAAAATAGGGCTGGGGGTGTGGCTCAGTGGTCCAGTGCCCCTGAGTTCAATCCCCAGTATAAAAAAAAAAAAAATGGTGTGTGCTTGTCCACTACATAAAAGATCCTGCACTCTAGTCCCAGGATAACAAACAAACAAGACATCAAAATAAACAAACAGAAAATAACAAGTATTGGAGAGGATGTGGTGAAATTGGAATTCTGGTGCACTGCTGGTGAAAATGTAAAATGGAAATTAGGAAACAGGATAGCTACACACAAGAATTATATGAGGGTGTGACATTTCCTTAACAGAGTTAAACAGAACTACCATATATCCCTGCAATTCTTTTGCTACTATATACCCAAGAGAAATCAGAGAAGGGACTCAAACAGGGACATAAGCAGATCCTTGTACACAAATGTTTGCTTTTTGTTTTGTTTTTGGTACCGGGGATTGATCTCGGGGGCACTCAACCACTGAGCCACATCCCCAGCCCTATTTTGTATTTCATTTAGAGACAGGGATTCACTGAGTTGCTTAGTGCCTCACTTTTGCTGAGGGTGGCTTTGAACTTGCGATCCTCCTGCCTCAGCCTCCCAAGCCTCTAGGTTACAGGCTTATGCCACCACACCCGGCATTTTGTACACAAATGTTTATAGCAGCATTATTCACAGTAGGCAAGAGGTAGAAACAACCCAATGTCCACCCACAGATAAATGGATAATGAACTGTGGCCTAGACACATGGTGAAATATTACTCAGATTTCAAAAGGAAGGCTGCAGTGAGACCAGCCACCCATGGATGAACCCGAGGACCGCGAGGCTAAGAGAAATAAGTCAGACAGAAAAGGACAGATAGTGTGTGGCTCCATTTGTCTGAGGTGCCCAGAAGAGTCAAATTCATAGACACAGGAAGTGGTGGGGTCTCAGGAGAGGGAATGGGGTATTACTGCTGAATGGGGACAGAGTTCCTATTTGGGACGATCATGGGATTCCAGGGCTAGAATGTCGATGGTCATACAACCCTGTGAACATATTTCATGCTGCTGAATTTTATACTTAAAATTATTAAAATGGTCAATTTTATGTTCTATATAGTTTGCCCTAATAATGCGTGCATTGCTATAGATATTTCCAACCCCTAGCATGGTAGGTACTTACGGGTACTCGGTAAATAATTGAGCCGTCCAATTGCCTTTCACTGGGTAACACCTTTGATCAGAACCAAGACCTTTCCACACAGGAACTGGGCACAAAATGCCTCATGAGCAGAGAACAATAGCAAGCTACTCAAAAGAAAGGGCCAAGATTATTTATTAGCTCTGGTGCCAGACCTTTGGCAAAATACAAAATACACAAAGACAAAGTCTGCCCACATTTGTCCCTGCTCCTAACAAGGTTACGTGTCTGAAGAAGAGGCAGGGAACACTGATTCACCTGTGTAGCTGGAGGACTCATACATACAGCCAACCTGGGGCCAGGCCTGCCCCAGAACCAAGCTGAAGGATAGAGGGTGGGAGATTTCCTCAAAAATCTACACAGCTCTCAACTTCAGAGGTCGAGGAATTCTATCAAGCTATCCAGAGGTGGCCACATCGCTGATCGTTACTTGACTTATAAAATTACCCCAACCAAATTTTACAAGTCCAGTTCACAGGGCTGGTAGCACACCCCAGTTGTAGAACACTTGTCTAGCGTGTGGGAGGCCCTGGGTTCAGTGCCCAGCACCAAGAAAAAGAAAAGCAAGAGCCAAGTAAAGATTTTGTTTTATTTTAAGGTTATGTGTTTTACTTTGGATCTAAAAATTAAAGGTTCCATCCAATAACAAATTACGTGTGGAAGAGATGGAATGTAAACCTTCAAGGTAGCTATTGCTCCAAGTTAATAAAATACCTGCTAGTACCAAAGTTAATAGACTTGTACAGGGCTACCACATCTCAGGCCCAAGGTCATTCATATCAGTTTCTACCAAGTTGAAATAAACAGATGTGTGGGATGTACTGAGTAGTAGCTTTGGAATTTTCACATTGTTTGCTTGCTACACAAAGAACGCATATTTAGATCTGATGGGGTCTGTTTGTTTGTTTGGTACTGGGAACTCAGGGGCACTTTACCACTGAGCTACATGCAGTCCCAGCCCTTCTTATATTTTAATTTTGAGACAGGGTCTCACCAAGTTGATGAGGCTGGCCTCTAACTTGCGATCTTCCTGCCTCAGCCTCCTGAGTGGCTGGGATTACAGTCAGGCATGTGCCACTGTGCCCAACTAGTTAGTGCCCCACTTTTAAATAAGCTGTATAGATGTCATTTCAAAACAGAGGAAATTCAAGGCTTCTCATTTCTGGAATATTGCTAGCTTCTTGACTGGGTTAATTTTAATTTTAAGCCATACAACTCATGACCCCATGAGGTGCCCCAAATTATATGACCTATGGGGTAGAACAGTCATGTAAAGTCTTCAGTCATACACTTCACATATATGTGGGGATTTCTGCTAACCCAGCTAATATGGGGATTTAGTGGAAGTAATAATGCCAAAGTCACAGAAATGAGCACATACCTGATGATAACAGCAATGTTTCCCACCAGGCAGTGTGGCCAATCATAGGAGTTGTAGATATCTACAAAATACTCACTCAGTGTCCATACTGCCCTCTTTGTTAATGAACCAAATTTGGGAGTGGGAGAGGTTGACAATGGTGGTGCTAACTAATCACTTTCCCAACCTCTCATCCACCTTAGATAGTTCAGAGCAATGATAGGTAAGCGGAAATCTGCTGGGATATTTCTGGGAAAGCTTTTCATTTCCTGATGAAAGGGGACTGTGGCAGCAGTCCAACCCTTTCCCTTTTGCCCCTCTCTCTAATGCTGATGTGATGTCTGCAGCTATGGCAGCTACCTTGCAACCATGAGCTGGACAAGTTGAAACCAACTTGGTAGGTAGGATTGATGGCTCTCTGTTGGCATCAATGAAAAGTTATACCAAAGCAAGTAATTTTCCAGCTTTTTTCCTCTGACATTTTATTATGAAGAATTTCAAGCATACAGAGAAGTTTAAAGAATTACACAGTGAACACCCACCACCTAGTTTCTGTGATTAATTTTATGATCTGTGCTTTATCACGTCTATCCATCTAAACATCCCTCTCACCATCCATCAATCACCCATTGTGCATATACTAAGAATACTTCACCCTGCACACTTCAGTATTGATATCATTAAACGAAGTATTTTTATAATTCTTCTTTTAATTGAAATTTTACCGAGATAATTATAGATTCACATACAGCTGTAAGAAATGACACAGAGGGATCCTTTGTATGTTTTTGCCCAAATCCCCATGGTAACATTTTGCAAAACTGTACCGTGATATCTCAGGATATTGGCATTGATACGGTTCATTGATCATACTTAGGTTTCCTCATTATGACTTGTATTCATCTGTGTGTGGGTGTGTGTGTGTGTGTGTGTGTAGGAATTAAGTTTATACAATTCTATACCTGTGTAGGTTCCTGTGTCCACTACCATAGTCGACATACTGAACAGTTTTGTTTGTAATTTACCTTAAAATTTATGTTATCATCTACAGGCAAGTGAATAAACTGTGGTACAGCCAGAGTACAATGCAATACCAAGCTATGCAAAGATATGGAGGAAATGTAAGCGCATGTTATTAAGTGAAAGAAGCCAATCCAAAAAATGTTGCATATTATAATTCCAATTATGTGACATTCAGGAAAAGGAAAAACTATGGAGATGGTAAAAAAGATCAGCGGTTGTTAGGATGAGCAGGTGGAGCATAGAGGGTTTTTAGGGCCCTGGAATGATCCTGTATGATACTATAATTGTGGATCCATGCCCCTCCATGTTGGTCCCATCCAATTGCTAGGGTTGAGCTTACAAATCACCTGCAAATTATGCCTCAATAAACCTAATTTAAAAATACAAAGAAGCCAGACACATGGACACATACTTATAATCCCAGTGTCTCCAGAGGAGAGGGCAGGAGGATGGAAAGTTCCATGCTAGTCTCGGCAACTTATTGAGACCCTGTCTTAAAATTAAAAATAAAATAAAAAGGGCTGGGGATGTAGCTGAGTGATAGAGTACTTGCTTAACACATGCAAGACCCTGAGTTCAATCCCCAGTGCTGCTAAATAAATAATGAATTAAAAGAGTGGTAGAGGAGGGGTAGAGCCTGACAAGATAGAACCCAGAGACAGTGGAGCCACCCACATGGGCTCACCCGGGGAGAGGGCTCTGAGTTCTACCCTTCTGCGTACCCACGCAAAAGGCACAGTCCTGTGCCGCAGGTTGGTGACATTAACCGGATTGTGCTGCTTTCTTTCTTTGTTTCTTCTTCTTCTTCTTCTTCTTTTTTTTTTTTTTTGGTACCACTTTCTATAATGAGTTCTGCTGCTGCTTTCAGCTTGACGTGAGAAACTGAAATAGAGAAATTCAGAGGGGAGGGAATTGCCTAAAACTGTAAAAATCCCATCTCCTGTTCTGTGAAATCAGGAGACAAACTGCAATGTCACCAGCTTCAAAATGGCTCTACTCAGTGTTGCCTGGGAGGTTCTGATTCAGGGCAGCCTGTGCTCTAACTCAAGATCTCTGGAACCTGAGGTGCAGAGGTATTCTTAACCTTTGAACTTTCCTGGACTGACCCTTCAGCTACCCCTCCCCAGGCCTTCTGAGCCTTTGGAAGAACTTGCAATTTAAGAAGGGAGGAACCAGCAAATACACGGGGTTGACATGACCAACATTTCCCCCAGGTTAAGCCAAGTCCTGGGGTTAAGACTTGTTAGTGGAGTCCCCCTGTTCTCCTCGTAAACAGATAAAAGAACTTCCCAGTTTCTTACCAAGAAAAACTACATCTACCCCACTGCCCCTTCTACTCTGGCACAACCTGCTGGCCCCCCCCCCCCCAGTCCCCAAACCCTATAATTAAAAAGGCTCTTTTCAGACTGGAATACAATTCAGGCACAATCATTATGAAAACCCTGCCCTGTTTCTGTGGTTACTGACAGCTCCTTTTGTGTAAATCTCATTAAATCAAACCAGGGACTCCTGTTTGGGGCGACAATTTCTAGAAAGAGAGAGCTACGTTCAGAAATAATGTTGCAAATATTAGATAGGAGCCCTCTTTGGATTAGAAAGTAATATTATTTCCCTCTCTGCAACCACTAACAAATCAACCATGAAAAACTGATAATGGTTTTTGTCACCCAACATCCCTGGTAGTATTCTTTACACTTCATAGAAAAGAGAAACCGACGGCTCGCTTTGATGAGCTATTTTATTCTCAGGCCTTTAAGGAGAAAAATGAAACTCCTGAAAGTATTGCTGTAGAAACTATTTTCAATTCATTTTCATCCTATATATTTTTGGTACTTAGGAACAATTTGCTTCTCATTTGATAAGAAAAATGATGCTTCCAGGGGAAGAGGGGAGGAAGGTAAGAGAGAGCAATAGGAAGGTAGGTAGGTAGGTAGGATCAAAGTGCATTACACGATTAATAAGCACTAATTGTACTTTTTTTAAAAAAGAAAAGAAAAATGATGTTATTCAAAAGCAAAGCAACACTAGGTTTTCTTTACACCCTGAAAAGCTCGAGAAGTAAAATGTTTCTTGTATAGAATTAGAGATAATAAAGAGATCCATCTGTATTTTACAGAGTGGCATCTAAAAAGAGTACTCAGACATTTTATTTGGCCCTAGATGTTGTGGTAGTTATTATCACCCCTCCCCCTTTAATTTTGTTATTTTTATTTCCATTCTAGAATTTTCAAAGACCCTAACTATGAGGGTTCCTATTCCCTGCTATCTTTTTCCATCAAAGGATAGAGATGGCTTAAGACTCTCTCTTGCCGGGCTTGGTGGTGCACATCTATAATCCTAGTGGCCCAGGAGGCTGAAGCAGGAAGATCCTGAGCTCAAAGCCAGCCTCAGCAACTTAGCAAGGCTCTAAACAGCTTAGCGAGACCCTGTTTCTTAATAAAATATTAAGAAAGGGATGCGGATGTGGTTCAGTGGCTAAGTGCCCCTGGGTTCAAATACCCAGTACAAAACAAAAAACCAAAAACCCTCCCTTACCATTAAATACCAAAAGTACTTTACATACTGTTCTGGCTACTACCAAAAATGGCAATGGGACAACCCCCTGGGTTTCTAAGTGCACATACTAGGCCCCTTTCTTGACAAGGTGCTTAGTCTTTGTAACTGCAACAGGCTACTGGAGGGCTTCACTAGAGGGATTAAGTTTTAGTGACATATCATTATTATAGGGATCTGCCTTGTACCCTGTCTCACCCACAATCATGCTTATTTTCTAACTTAGAACATGGTTGCTGCAATCAATGATACGTGGTCAAGTTACAGAGAGAGGACCAAGAGAAGGATAAGAGACCACGAATGGAGTTGGGCTCTGTGGCATGTTCAACTATATTCCCAGCAACTCAAGAAGCTAAGGCAGGAGGATCACAGATTTGAGGCTAGTCTGGGCAATTTAGTGAGACTCTGATTCAAAATTCAAAAGAAAGGGGATAGGGAGTGGGACTGGGAATGTAACTCAGTGGTTAAGCATCCCTGGATTATCCCCCCTATCAAAACAAACAAAAAAACAAAGAACACAAACAGATCTGGGGGTGTGG